TCCATAATCGATCTGCATGGGTTTTAAAAATTAAAATGGCTGTTTTATAGAGTTTTTTAAATACCGTACCACAAAATGCTAGTCTGATGACGTTTAAAATTTCACAAAATGAAAAAGATGAAAAACTGCAAAAAATAATTTAAGTTAGAAGTCGTGTAAATACAACGATTTAACCAATTTCGGCAAAAAATCCAGCAAAACAAGCATATTTAGCTAATTCTAGTACAATTGAGCTAAAAATCGTCAAAATTGATGAAAATATCTAAAAATAGGAATCCGTACTGGGCATATACAGTTCACAATGACGATATAGCGTGTTTTATACAAATTGGTATACATGTGCGATTCTGCAAAATCAACAGTCCGTTAACCTAATCTGTGCTGAATAATTGCTATAGTATTGATGTTTATTGTGTTTTGATATCTAACTCCATCAGGTATCGATTAAAATATGCCTGTATTAATATTCAACATTTTGCTATTTTGACCTTTACTTGTTTGAAAAAAAAAAATTTTGCACACTACAAAAAAAAAACGTGGTTGATGTAATAAAAAAAAAAAAAAAAAAAAAAAAATTAAATTAAAACCATTTTTTTTATGAAGGATAAAAATATAAACAATCTCTTTCTCACAATGATGGAATTTAACAATGTATTCAACTTACCAATTTACTTCATTCTTGATAAACAAAATGCAAATTCCAAGCAAACAAAAGTTCAGTAAAGAAATGAAATTTAGGGGAAATTAAATGTTCGAAGTTTAACGTTGGCCTAAAGTTCAAAAGTTAGAGCGTTTTCCATTGACATGGGGTGAAGTCGAATTGAAGTCGGCTTGTCTCGAATCCTAATAACTTTCGGTCATCTGTCGGCTTGTCTCGAATCCTATAATAAGTTTGTCATCTGTCGGCTTGTCTCGAATCCTAAAAAGTTTGTCATCTGTCGGCTTGTCTCGAATCCTAAAAAGTTTGTCATCTGTCGGCTTGTCTCGAATCCGAACATGGTGTTTGTTTGTCAGCTTGTCACAAATCCGATTATTTTTTTTTTTCCGTAAATTATTTTTTTCGTTTCAATTCTCTTCCTGTAATGTGGATGCCTGTTTTTTGTTTTACTTCTCATGGGTTTCAATTCTTGTTAGTTAGTTGCGGTATATATATGAAGAAAAATTTTAATTCAGTTCCATTCTAGTCATCCAGACAGGACCAACAATCTGCTTAACCGCAATTCGGGTATAGTTTAGTGCGTCTTCCATGTTAAATATCGGTTTGACGATATGTGCTCAGCTTTGGAGAGGAGGTACTGTGAAATCCATGATTAGGGTCTTCCACCATGTTAAATATCGGTTAGTTGTTGGTGACTTTAATGAGTAGTATGACACAGTTCCTTTTAGTACACTGCAAACTTTTATTCACACAAACTGTACGTTGGTTACAATCAGCTAAACTCCAGGTTTCAGATGTTAGAGAACCCTTTTAGAGTGGAGTCAGCTCAGCCCTGTACTTTTCTTCTGTGTTGAATCTAACTACTGACTACTGATTACTGACTACTGACTACTCACTACTGATTACTGACCATTGCTGATTCAGTGATATGGGGGTGTTTGCCTAATATACTTTAGGTAATGGGGGTGTGTCTGAAGTAAGTCACCCCATACTTTTAGAGTTTCTGATTGGATCATAGAGAAATTCTTTCTCCATGATTTTCTCCATGATATGATTTATCACAAACCTCAGAGCTTAGGCTAAAAACTGACAATCATAGATTCATAGTGTGAGAAAGTCCAAGTCCAACTGACTAGGGTAAAGTTATGCAAAGTCTAGTTTTATTATTAGATTATCTGTATACTCAAGTTGACCATTAAAACTGTCAACCCAATTTAAGGCATTTATCAAGTGAAGGGTATCGATTCCAATAGTTATGTAAGTTAATACCATTGAACCTTAATACTACATTACAATATGTACGTGGTGGTGGTAGACCCACATAAATGTAGTGTGCAGTCAAATTTATATAATGTATGTTATTGTTTCATAGAAAATGGGATTGAATGATACATGTAAGATAGCGATAGATTTTTATCGGACTGAATTCATTTTTTGATTAATGGTAAAATGAAATGAGAAAGATATATAGAAGAAGATACTAATAAATATATGAGATCTAGAAGTCCAGTTGTAGAGTTTTATTGAATTGATCAAGTACTATGCAATAAATCACCACATAATTATTTCATTTTAATCAATATGTGTGGAATTTGGAATACAAAACTTGCTATATCTCCTACTCAAGTTGAATACTTGAGTTGATCTTCTCCACTGAAGTTCAACAATTTGAATGGATCTTCTTACAGGTCTCCTTTTAAATTGACTTCAGTGCAACATGTTTAGCTCAACTACGGCGTAATTACACTACTTGTATATTCTTCTTCAGTTATCATTGAAAATATTTTCCCGCCATTCCAAATTTTTATACAGTATGTACTGATTACTGTGATGTTTTTCATATTTGACTTGACTATGCTGGACTCCAGCAGTTGTGAATATCTGTACAATAAGTAACAGTTATTCACATGTTCGGCCATCATCAACACCTATTGTTCGTGGCTCACTTGCTTTTTAATAAAGTGTGTCTGGATGTACTAGGCTAATGTTGTCTGGAGAGTGAAGCCTATCAACTGGAAAAAGGAAAGTCCAATGTTGAATGGATTTCTTGGAGGAATAGGAGGTAGTAAGGCTCTGCAAGAAAATACAAACACAATCTTAAATAATATATGAATTAAGGTTAGATGAATGTATGATGAATGATGTGAACACTTTGTAGTGGTTAGCTGTCATACCTATTCATGGCATTTTATTCTAAATATTTATAATTATTTTTGGGTGGAATGTTAACATACATACATATATGCACACTGTATTTATTTTCGAAAGAAATTTTCGGCCAGTCCTCTGGTCTTCATCAGCTTTACAGCATTGTTGTTTTTCAGTACTTGACCTAGTTCATTTATGTGCGTTGGACCGTTGCTGGTAGCTGCAATAATTCTAGACCTTATTCTTCAAAATAAAAGAATCTTTGTATTGTCCATCTCCATTGACCATAAAAAATTGTAAATTCATCACTGCTTTATATAAAACTCTAACCATATTACAAGGTGAGCAATGTTCTTGGGTGGATCAGTGTAGTTAAATAGTCTCACCCTGGATCAAACACTCTCCATGACTAATATTTTACTGAGTTCAATACAGCTTCGTATGCTATAAAGTACAACATGGTTTCTAAGCTGGACGTGGGATATGCGTGGATTGTCGCCATAGCAAGTTGGGTAGCGACTGTGATAATATTTATGGTAACATCAAATGGAATATATTTTCCTTATATGATTGACTACTACGAAGAAAGCTCCACAAAGGTTGCAATGGCACTTACACTAATTCATTCACTTAAATATTCTTGCGGTACGTTTGGTATGGTTTTTTTATTTTAAATTTTTGTTCATCATATGCCTTAAGATTAGATGTAATGTGGTTGTGTCGAAGAAAATGTTCCGCACGTGAATGGGTCACGTCCATCCACTCTCGTCGGAAACATATGCGGCCCTCACCCCGTCTGGGGTATCGGACCCTTCGTTTTACAAAAAAAAGAAAAAACAGGGCCCCAACAGGAATTCGAACCCTGACGCCGCCACCTCCCTGTATCTGCAACTAATAAAAGTATTTTCAAAAAATTGGGAAACTAAAAAGACCTGCCTTATCGAATGTAATAATGATCCATGTGCTATTACTTCTAGGTGTGTTTGCAGCGATTATGGCCAAAGCATTCGGCTGCCGAGTAGTAATGATTTCTGGAAGTTTTATGATGATGTGTGGCTGTCTTTTAATGACATACTCAACGAGTATATTTGAAGTTTTCTTGGCTTTCAGTCTTTTTGGTGGGTTTTGAAATTGTTTTAATGTTCTTGTAGATGTCAAAAAATGTCAAACAGGTGTAATACTGTCTTTGATATATTTATTTTAAAATCTATTCTCATTCATTATTAACAAACTGTCAATGGCTGTTTTATTATTTATATTATGCCTACTGTATATTATATAATTAAGCAGTCCACAATAAATCGACGTTATCTTTCCCAAATCATTACCCAATTGCCTTATAAAATTCTTTAAATATACGCTATAGAACGCAGTACACTCTTCAGAAAAGAGTAGAAGATTGTCTCCTGTTGTTCTCACTAGAAATAAGTCGATGCAACGTGCTAGGCCTACATTTGTCTGACAGAATTCTCTACTGATAATAAAAAACGATCATTATATTAGCTACCAACCAAACTGAGTCAAAATTAATTTATTCATAAGTTGTATTCTATTTAATATCTTTAATTTTTTTCTCTGCTTCAGGTTTCGGAATATGTTTGGATTATTATACAACTTTCTTTATCATAGACGTTTATTTTAAAAAGCATTTCACATTAGTGATGTCAATAAAAGTATCAGTAACTGGAATAGGGCATATGATGGCACCGTATATCAACCAGGTAGGACTACGGCAGCTGACAGGATTTCGGAAATCACCACGTAACGACTTGTAATCGGCACAGACTGCACTACATAATTTTAACTTTTTTTTTATGAAGTAATTTATTAACTAATAAGTTAACAAAACAGTGTTCAGATTATAACACACAAAACAAAAAAAAAAACATTAATTTTTCTTCTTATCTCTCAACTATACAGATGCTAGTTACCAAGTTTGGATGGCAACATTCGTATCTTCTTCTTTCAGCGCTTATATACCACCTAGTTTTATGCGGAGTGATATTCAGACCACCAAAAGGAAGTTCTGATGAAAACCTTGAAGAACTTGCTCTTTTGGAAGTGGAGCACGAACATAATTGTCTCGAGCTTGAAATACAAAATAGAATAACTCCAACAGATGAAAACAAGGGTCTTAATTGGTTGCAGTATATTTACGAAATATGTCATTTGCGTTTGTTTAAGAAACATTCTTTTGTCATGCTTGTTATCATTGCATTAATACAAGGAGCAACTGAGGAAGGAGTCGAAGTTATTATGCCGGATGACATGCTAGAGCGAGGCGCTAGTCTACATAGCAGCCAGTTAATTTTGACAGCTTACGGAGCAAGTAGTATTTTCGGAAAATCTTTTCAGTATATTGTCAGCAAATTCGTTTTAAACGATTTGCTTATCCAACTAGAACTCACTTATTTCTTTTCATTTCTGTCATTACTAATTTGCAGTATAACGAATACTGCTAACGTTGTTTATGTGGCGATGGTTTTTTTTGGTTTTTCTATGGGTTGGTACAGTGCAATCACACCACTCCTTGTGAAGTCTGTGAGTGATGATTTCTCATTTGGAATTGCTTGGGTTGATACTTCTTTTGGTGTTGGCGCATGCATAGGAGTTCCGTTGGTTGGTAAGTGGCAGCCATAAATAAAAGTCTGCATTTGAACAGTCAAAATGTGAGCATAGCATGCAATAACACGCTATAGCAATATCGTACTCTGATTTGTATTAATATTGTGCGTGTATTTTAAATGTTGTGATATCGACATTATTAATGGAACTATTATTAGTAAGTGGTAGCCATTAAAAAACAAAACACTAGCATACCATACAGTTACAGAATAAGCAATACTATATTCTGATTTGTATTAATTAATGTGTTTCTTTTTATTTTGTGTTATTGACATAATATATTTCTATTTCCCTTATGCAGGCTATCTTCGAGACAAAAGTGGAAATTTTTGGTTTTCCGAGTTGGCATTGTTATGTTTTACATTGATTAATATGGTGATAATTTTTGGTTTTATTGTGTGGAAAAGACCAAGAAAACAAAGCCAGACATTCTGAGATTATTTCTACTTAATTTATTTTTTTATCGATGAGTGATTATATTATCTTCGGCTGATTTAGAACATTGAAACCAACCCAAGTAATAATTCATTGAGTGAGTTGAGCCGGGTTTTTCCACCTAGTCTGAACTAGGCCAAAATAAGCCTAGATGTAAACAGAAAATAAAATGCGCGAATTACGAATATGAATATTTCACGCGAATACTTATGCTAGCATTCGTTATTGCCCAGTATAGACATCTCGCTAGGTACGCCATGGATTAACGCATGCCCACAACCCGCAGCAGTCCGTCAAAAACTTAAATAGCAGAAGAATGAGCTGTTCCGCGTATTTGCATTAAAATTAATGGAACATCTGCCCTCCCGCGAGTGCAGTAAAATTTGACCATTTGACTGAGTGGAGAAACTACAGGAAACAAATCGATGTATAGAGCCGCCGCACGGACGGGGTAAAATTGCTCTCCGTGTCATCCTGATGGTGACATAATTATGTCGAAATATTGAATCCAGACACGATGGCGTGCTTTTCGATACTTGGTGTATGTATTATACTATCTTATCTGAGATTAATCAGTGGACCTTTCGGTTTTATAGGTTTATATAACAATGACAGAATATAAAAGCTTTAACAACAATATTTTCACATATGCAAATAAAAGCTAATGTCGGTATTAAAATTTAAACAATGTTCAACTTTTGTTCTAACTTCCAGAAGAAAATATTTTGTTGTGTTGAGATTAGAGTGCTACAGTGTTACGTCACGATACTACATGATACTAGTCCGTTGCTATCGTGGCAAAAAGAGTTCAACTGGACGCCATTTTCTTTACTGACAAACCGTTGAACCCAATTTCAAACGTAATTATTAAGATGTTGTATCTTACTTTTTCTTTGTAAATTTTCATTGATGATTAAATGTGTGTTCGATAACTAATATAATGCGAGCTTTTGTGTTTTGATAATAAAAATGATAATGGTATGAATATAAACATCAAAATAATACACAACATATGGCAAGATAATGTTTTGTGTATATAATGCTCTATTGAATAGGCCCAATACTGATAGTTACTGATAGTTTTTAGTAGGACGATCTTGTTAGTAATATTGTAATGGAGGTTTAGGTATCAGAACGAGCCCAGGACTTGATGTGTGAATACCAAGAAATGGTTTATTATTAATAAATAACTGCATACAGTAACAGTAAATCCAGTCTAATGCACTTGAAAAAAACACTAACACATAACGAATGGTATTATGTCAATCACTGGTAATTATAACTTTTTGTTTTCAACCATAATCGGTAACTACTTTACTTGATAAGTGAATTTTAGAATTAAAAAATAATGATGATGATGATAATGATGATGATGATAATATAGATGACGACGATAATAGCGCTAGATTTAAAATCCATGATGACAAGCGGAAATAATAACGACTCAATGGCTATCATATATAATATGTCAAAGGTCAGAAATGGCATTTCCAGTCATTTTTTAGCAAACTAATTTATTAGACCAAATAGAAACATGAATATTCCAAACAAATTGACACCACAATTAACTCTCTCCCACCAGTGGTTGCGGAGATATTAGGGCCATATGACTATGATCTTGAAACAAAGGTCAGAAACAGCATTTCCGATGTTTTTTTAACAAAATTTTTTATTAGAGCAAATAGAAACATGAATGTTCCAAACAAATTGGCACCACAATTAACTCTCTACCACCAGTGGTTGAGGAGATAATCATGACTCAATGGCTATCTTATATACAATATGTCAAAGGTCAGAAATGGCATTTCCGGTCATTTTTTAGCAAAATCTTTTATTAGACGAAATAGAAACATGAATGTTCCGAAGAAATTGACACCAAAATGGCTGCGGAAGTATAAGGACAATATGGCTATGACCTTGAAGCATGTCAAGATCAGAAATGGCATTTCCTGTCATTTTTTAGCAAAATGTTCTATTAGAGCAAATAGAAATATGCATGTTTGGAACAATTTGGCACCAACCCTCTACCACCTGTAGTTGCGGAGATACAAGGATCTTATAGCTTTGACCTTTGACCCTGATCTTTTGACCTTTCACCACATTTTGAAAATATATTTGTTACCAAAGCCAAAAATGATTCTTGGACCATTTCAACCAATTTCTGAAGTCAAATTCTCTGCACCTCAAAGTGCATACAAAACCTGGTCTGGCTCCAAGGGTATATAACAAAGTTATACCGGCCGCAGACTTTAATTAGTAGCAGTTCCTCCACTATAATTTGGAAATAATAGCATAGAGGGCACTCTATTTTATTTTGTGAATTTTACATAGAGGGCACTACTATTTTTTTTGTCTCAAAGTTGGCAGGTATATCTTAATAGGCAAATTTATTAGAAATAACAATAAATAACTTGAAGGTTAGAGCACTGACCTGTGTCAGGTGATATGTAACCATGGCGAATTAAAAAATCCAGAATAACAAGAGCGCAGTTTGGTTTAAATTCTCCTGATGCTATTTTCTCTTTGACCTGGAAGGGGAAAAACAAAAGTATAATTGCACGTGTGGAATGTTGTTCACAATGTTTAATCAATGAAAACAACTACAGGCCACTTTAAATTGCATTCAAGATGGCAGCCATTTGACAATTAATTTAATTTAAATTAAGCCTTATTTATTCAGGGTAAATTATAACCATTCAGTGATAGCATTGCTTTCTAGGAAAGCCCTGGTACATAAATATAAGCAAAAATATACAGAACATATGTTTACAAATGCACAATTCCAAAGTAACGGAAAAGTAAATTTAAAACAATGAAACAGAAAGAACAATAATGAAAGCAGAATTTATTTTATTTATTTATTTCAACAATATTTTGTGAGGGTGGTCCATCCAGCCTGAGCTGATCAATTGGGACCCTCAGTACATACAATTAAAACATAAGTATAAAAATTAAACTTGATCTTTAACATAAGCAAATTAATTAAATTAAACCAGGAAAAAAAATTAATAATAATGATAATAAAAATAATAAAAATAAGAAAAAAAAAATATATAGGCCTACAGTATATAAATTATATATAATAATGATTTAAGGAAAACATTAAAAATAAAAAAAATTTAAATTAAAAAAAAATTGACATATTGGATAGAATAATAATTGAAATAAAAAATAAATCAAAAGAATTAATGAGAAGATAATTAATTGAACTAACAAAAATAGAAAAATTATAAAAGATTATAAAAGATAAATAATTTACAATTTAAAACAGAACAAAATCACGATTAAAAATATTGCAACAAAAAGAGATGGCCACAGGGAAAATTACACAAGATTGGATGAAAGATAGCTAAGAAGGTTGGATTTGACAGAAGAGAAAGAGAAAGTAGAACGGACAATCGGTGGAAGAGAGTTGTAGATGTAAGGAGCATTATAGCTGAATGAAGTTTTAAAGATTTCTAGATTAGGCTTAGGAATTAGAAGATCACCTTTAGTGATTTTTCTTGTGGTCATACGGCCATTGGCAACAATCTTTTTAAGGCATTGACAAAGAGTTTGTGGAGCAAGGTTATGAAGAGCTTTGTAAGTTAAACAGCAGAGTTAAAATTGAAATCGGAGTTGAAGGGGAAGGGTATTAGCAGATCTGAAATGAGTGGGAGTAATTATAATAACTTATAACTTAAATAATGATAACTTAAAGACCAAATAAAAAATATGATTTAGAAATTATTAAAGAAAAAAAATTACAACTGAATACATATAAAGGCTTATTAATGGAAAGACAATCAAAACTAGTTCTGGCAAACAGAGCAATGATGCTACTCTACTACAGTAGTTTGTCGTCTTTTCTGTTTCAATTTCTTGTTTCGATTTCTTTATAGAAAATAGATGTAAATTTTTGGAATTACTACAGCTCTATAAAACAATGAATAGGGCCAATGTAACATCAATTTGTATCATGGAGTGTATTACCTGGCATTAAATCACATACACTACTGTATAAACCAAGCGTGTTTAAAATTTATTTTGTTGCTTTGAAATTCATGTACAGTGAAAAAAGTCTGTGATATCTTGAAATGAAGCCCATGGGCTTTTTCATGAGATTACGCCTATTGGGCCTCAATTCGAGGTATCTTTTATCGTAAGCTCTTTGAGACTGTAGTCAATATGAGTGCTATTAAAAACCATATACCATAAAACCTCGAACAGAAGCCCAATGTGTAATGCCAGCTAATACACTCCATGATACAAATTGATGTTACATTGGCCCTATTCATGTTTTATAGTACTGTAGTAATTCCTAAAATTTACATTATTTATTTTAAAAAGAAGCCCCCCCACCCCCACTCTTTACTTTGTAAAAGTAGCCTCGAAAAGAAGCCCATCCAAAGTTTGCAAAAAAAGGAGCCCAGGGCTTCAATTCGAGGTTTTACGGTAAATTATTTTTAATAATGCAATAATCATTCATCGTTAACACGTGTTTGAATAACTATCTTGTTGTTATGTGCTTCTTGTTACTACTTCTGTGTTATTGTCTGTAGTACTGTAGTTATATATTTAGTTACCTGTTAATACACATACCTCTTCAATTTTGAATAGGTAGAACTCACTGACCTCACCATCAGCATTTTGAGGGGTAAAAGTCGAAGGTAACTCAAGGTCAAATATGAACTGGGTCTCTGGGAAAACACCTCGCTCACTATGATATAAGTAACTGGGGGAAAAATATAAATAATTAAACAAAAATCTTGTGAGTATACCTACACCATACATTATCATCTTCATTATTATTTTTACCCCTATATAATATTATAATGATGATAATGACATAATAAGGTTTTACTTTACATAGTTAATAGAGTGCCACACTCTATTAACCTGTAACAATGATGCTTATATGGTGAAGAAAGAAAATGTGATGTCGGCCTTTCATCTTTTAAAAGAAATCTAAAATTATATTATCTAAGTCTGTACCTAAACTAAATTCAGTTCATTTCCGCACTTTTTATTTATTTATCTTGTTTATCTATTTATTTGTTTATCTATTTATTTATTTATTTATATATTTATTTATTTAATTATTTATGTAATTTAAAAAAAAATTTTTTACAGATCCTCTCGAGACAAGGTCTTCCTTCTAGACTGGGATCCTTACAACAGTTTATATCTTTATGTATGATATATTTTTTTTCAATATCAATGTATTAATCTGTGCTCTTGTAGAATAAAAGGTGCTTGCACCACTGAAGTGAGGTATGCGGAGGGCCAGAAACATTACATGTTCTAGCGTTCCCCCACCATCCCCCAGGGTCTTGGACCCACAATTTTATGAAAAGTCAAGCACCATAGAAATATTTTTCTTGCAATATTTGAAATATAGAATATAGGTATTTACTAGGCTTTGAATGGCTGAGCGGTTCACATATCTAAGCGCCTTGTATCCTTTGGCAAAAGGCGCTATATAATTTTTATTATACCCACTCAAGTATGTACAGTACCTTATAGAACCGACTGGTTTAGCCTCTTTAGCCAGATGTTCAGGAATTGATGCCTCTTCTGCACATTCTTTAACAATGCAGTCTTTCACTGTCATGCCAGCTGATAGCCCACCAGCAGCCTGGAGGAGAGGCCATCAATTTGGTATAAAACAATAATATTAAGACTAAAAAAAATATTATTAGATTAGATTATTATAAAAAAAAATTAACGCTAACTACAGAGTCAGCTGAACTCTGAGGATAATTAATGAAGATGATGTTAAAGTTTACAAAGTAATTTTAAATCCACTGATATGTTAAATATCAGTATGAGGGAAAATACACTAAAATGTCATTTTCATTCAATATCTTGATCATTTATTTGATCATCATCAAGAACAATTCACTGCGACAAGCACATTTCATTCGTATATAAAATACCAGTGCTTACTATATTGTCCAGCTTGCCTGGGAAGGTTGGCTTATTCTTGGCCCTGCGTCCTATCCACATAGACAATCCATCACTTGTCTTACAGAAACCATTTAAATGGCATCCATACTGCTTCACTCCAAATAATGCTGTGTAAAGTACAAGAACAAAGTTATGAAAATACTGAATTAGGAACAACCAAAACTCATATACTCATATAAAGAACATAAATATTACTCACCTAGCACTTTTGATACATTTTGAATTGACGCCTTATAACATTTTTGTTATTAAATATTACATTATTACTTAATTCTTTCAATATATTTTAACATATGTTCTCCACATAATCTTATAAAGTATCTTGCTATCATTAATTATTGTTATGCTGCCACCTATTGTTGGATTTGGTAGATTTGCTGTTTTCACGAGTTTAACCAATCAATGTAAGGTTTTCAGTATACTGTTGTAGTAATAAATTGTGTTGGGCTGCATCCTATGACATTGTCTGATTTGGCCTTTACAGATAATCATTATGAGTGCAATAAAAAGATTTTATTTAATAGAATTCACTGAGTAACCCAAATTTAGGGTCTGGAACCATCCCAAGCAGTTAGCTCAACATTGAAACCACTCTTCTTAATTGCTAGGAAATGTTACTTCTCCTAAATTAATTACTTCAGTTTATTAGTTCATCAACACAACTTACATGTTGCTGATCTTTCCATCTCAAGAAGAGTGGCCTCATGATAGAAGGTCTTCACAGAATACAACTTCGAAAATACAGAAGAATATACAATGTAAGTCTGATCTGCTTATTTTCTTCTGGAAAGAGGTAGTGGTGGACTGTCCACTTTCACCAAAATTTATAAAAGGAAGACAAACACATCCATTTTGAGTTGTTAAAACTTTAGTTTATCAATGATATAATTAGGCACTTTGGTTCAAAAATACACTACGTCTACAACTATTGAAAAAGCATGATTTTTTAAATACAATAGGCAGAGCTTTGAACTTTCAGCTCAATGTTGGATGACTTGTTTCTCTTTCTTAGGTGTTTAAACATTAGCTCAACCCGCCCTCAATAAACTAACATTACGTTATCTCGCTATATTAATTGGATTAACACATTATCAAGGATAAGTACTGAGTGTTTAACACTGGTGTCCTTGGATTCAAGTATAGGTAAACGGATTAGTTGCCTTTTTTATGAGGTTTTAATTGTTCTTTACCACCGAAAGTGCGGTATTCTAACGTTAGTTTATGGAGGGCTGGTCGGCCTAATGATCTGCAGTGAAACACTGAAATTGAATCAGGTGCTTAAATGAATACAAACGCTAAGTGTTCCCAGTTAAAATAACTAATACAATCCTTTCACAGGAGCAGATCCAGCCTGGTAAAGAATAATAATAATAATGTTGGTCTTATGTAGAGCTTCATGCATAAAGCCTGTTAGCGCTTCACATTACTACCCCGGTCATTAAATCAAACACATATGGAACACATATACTCAGCTCCCTGGGTAGAATTCCATAATATTGCAGCTAGTAATCAGCGCAGTTGTGTTGGAACCTACCAGGTACCCACTTGTACTCCTGGGTGGAGAGAGGCAACAGTAGATAAAATGCCCTGCCCAAGGACACAAGCGGTTTGCAGTGAGAGTTTCGAACCCCTGACCTCGAGGTTGGGAGTCCAAGCCACAACTGATGCGCCAAATGCTTCTAAAAGAAGAGTTTGGGGGAGTGTGAATTTGCGAACTGTGTGAGCATCTCAGGGAGGAGCTCCATGGTAACTGCAATGGGAAGATCCCCTTATTTTAAGCCACTAGCACCTTCATTAATTTGACAACAAAAAAATAAAATTGTTCAAAAAATAGAGAGGAAGTAGGGCATGCCCCCCTCTAAAATCTGCCACTGTTTTTATACCCAAGTTGAGAGTACCAAACCTCATTCCTCCATCCTCGTAGACTAATATGTACGTCTTGCTTCCGCCACCCTTCAAGAATTTCTCTAATTGTTTGCGTTCTCTTCACTACCGTGTCAAAATCATCTGTCAATTTAATCTTCCTAATTAGAGTGGGGTCTTGTTTGGAGCGTACCACCTCAAAAACATCGGTCTCTGAAATAACTTTTGGTATAATTTCCGGAATAATGAGTCCAACTTGTTGATCCTTGATGAAAAAGGGGACGCAAAGTGCACGTGGTGATTCTGTTGGGATAAAAAAAAAAAAGTGGAATGTATATAGTGTCATTTTGAGGGCTATTGATGGATAAAGTTACAGTAGATACCTCCAGCCATGGAAGAATACAGAGAGCAAATACTAATATAATAAAGACTAAAGTTTCTCCAACTAATGAGTTTATATAGAAATTGTATCCTTTCTTAGATGCAAATTGCATAATTATGGTTTGGTGAAAATTTGCATTAATTTCTCCCTGTACACCATGATGCAGAAAAGTATTTGTAGGCCTCTGTAGCAGGCTGCTACAACCTGGGGAAATGGGGGAATTCCCTTATCTCAGCCAGTGGAATGGCCCACCTGCTGAGCAGCCCCAGGCGTCACAACAAGTCAAACGAGGGGTCAAACGGCTCAGTCTTGCTACTCTAAAGACCCACTACATGGGCTTTCATTTTAACTAACCTGGCTGATTAAATGAATTACACTGTCGGACAATTTTTAGCATTTGCTGAGACCAAGACATTTTGCTCAAAAAGCACCACACTAGCCGGATAAGATTAAACAGTGTTAGCAACCATTTAAAAAGCCATGCTGCAAGCCCTCTACTGCTCAAAAAACAATAACAAGACTGCATGGCTGGAATAGTCCATTTAGGAGACAGGCATATTATTTTGAATCTATCAACAAACAACAACAAAGACTACTAAAAACAAAACGATTATTATTCCTAATTCTATTCTTGTATGTTTTACAAAATCAACATTTTTTAAAGCATTTAATTGATATAAACATAATACATTTCTACGGAGCTACCCCACCTTCAGGCTAGCCTATAATATAAGATCTTTGTTGGCTATTTTCAACAGATAGAGGGCCTGCTATAGAGTGATGGCGACGCCCACAGAAAGTTTAGTATTGTTGCAGTTCTTTTGAGATATTGAACGAACAACATTCATAGAAACATGCTTCGGGCTTTGTATGACTTCCAAAGTAAAGATGGAAAGTCTATGAGCTTTCGCAAAGGACAGCGGTTCACGCTGCTCGACAAAAGCAATGCTCACTGGTGGCAAGTCATGACTGACCAGGGTACGGTCGGATACGTACCCGGTAATTATGTCGCAAAAGACGATGTAAGTATGCTAATTCTAGGCCTAGACTGGTTCTTTTGCTATAGAATTATTTTTAAATATGATAAACTTTAGACCAATGAGATTATTCTTACTTATACTATAATAGTATCGATTGCTAAACAGTTTTATTTAGCAGATTAACTCATTATTAATTAGGCTAGTCATATTGTTTACATTGTCGACATGCCGAATCTCTTTGTTGTTGTGAAGGGTTGTAAGGTGATTAACCTTAATCATGGTATTATGTCGCCAGATGATGGCAAAACTGTCATAAACTACCACTAGAGTATTATTAATTTAAATCCTCCTTGTTATACCCATTCCATTGGTTTGCTTCAAGTTGTACACTACATGCATGACAAATTTAAAATCAATGATGTGTTTAGGTACAACAAATTGCCATCCATGGCTTTTTTTCATAAAATGACAATAAATAATGCGTAGATACACACAACATCAGTGAAAGAATCAATGTAATGGAATTTTCATTGATAAATTTGTCTAGTACACTAGACTTTCAGTGAATGATTATGAACAATAAAATACAGTAATGGAATGAAATAAATTAAGGTAAATTTTTTCATTTAATTTCAGTTGCCTTCGGACCAAGTTCTTGCCTCTATAGACCGTGCAATGGAGTTCGTACACCTGGCTGCTACTAACAAAGGTGGCGCTTACACAAACGAGCAACGAAAAAGTTTACAGTTGCGTACAAAGGCTCTTTTTGAGCTGCCTTGCCTATTGCTTTTCAGTAGATCAGTGGTGTATCTAGGGGGTGCGCACACCCCTCAAAAAAATTTCCCCCTTATTCCTCCCTCATTGAAAATGTCCTAAGCCTAAATATGGATTGGATTGGATTGGATTTATTCAGTGTAAACACCAAGGATAGCCCACAAAATCATTAAGACCCCACTCCACCTTTGCTTCCCCTCCCCATCAGCTGCCCCCTCCCATTTCAAGAATCCTGGATACACCACTGATAGTAGTTAATAAACATAAATGTATTAACAATTAATTGCCACTGAAAAAATATCAAGAAAAACATAAAAAATTAATACAGTACTAAACTTTAAATAGTTCATTTAAAATAATTATATTAACATATTAAGGCAACTTTTCATAGAGATCAAAGAAAAAAATGTATTTAGAGATTTATAGAAATTTTATTATGATAATCCTTAAACTGACTTTTGCATTATTGAAACATGTTATTTGGTGACAACCATTATTTTTATTCTGTTTTTTTTTTAAAGCTATCGTGAGGTATACAAAGTTCCATTTTTCTCCTTTAGTTTATAATTTTAATTAGATTCTAATGGCCTTATATTTTAAGTTAATTTTGTTTACAAAGAAGTATCCAGTTGATTGTGAAAATTAATGAGATACTCTTGATTCTATTGTTAGAAAACTTGTTGAACATCGTCAACAAATAGTACGTGCGCAGGTAGTCGAAGATGTTCCACAGCCAAGAAGGGTTGCACCGGCAGCACCTCCGACCCAATCATCGTCATCCCAACGAACTTCCAACTCGTGTGCAAGGACAACCACTCCACCAACATCACCAAATTACTCAGTTGTACAGCGAGGCAGCAGTACAAAATCTCACAAAGCGCCATCACCGCCCGTGGATACACAACCCGTGCAATATACAAATCCAGACCCGCCCCCTGACGCAACGGCACTGCCATCAACACCAAGACCCGTTGACGTCGCGACAAGTCCCATACAATCGCCTACTCGAAAATACAGGGCACCATTATCTCCTGAACTATCTAAGTCACCGACTATGGAAGCCCTGATAAGTCCTACAACCAGAGCACGATCGGACAGTTTAATATCGCCAAGGCTTGGTCCTGAGATGGTTGAAATGGTTCGAGTTAACACAAATTTAAGTTTCAATAAATCCAAAGTGGCAGTTGCTATGGTGCTAAATCATGTCCGAGAGTCGGTGCCCAGTGTTGCGACATTGATGGAGGATATCATTAAAACACTGGACACAGTAAGAAATGATGATTATTTACTGTTATGATAATTTCAAAAATAATATTGAACTAAGAAAGGTATTACTTTAGCCTATACTGTTCTTTGTTTCTATTTTTTTCTCTTATATAATATAGAAAATTTTTACATACAGTAGTATCCAACTGTTATAATCAAGGGATGAGAGAAGTTTTTGATAAAATTCATTGGAATTTTTTTATTAAAACTTGTCTTGCCATGTATCATGATCTACCATGATCCCCCCACATGTGTTCTACCCATGGTCCTGAAGCTTGTTGACATACACTCTGTGGTCGCACCCCCTGGGGTCCTTTCTCCTGTGGACCCGCTGCAATGTAGTACAACCACTGCCTATGTTGCCTACCCCCATTCAATTTTTTTAACTTTTATCTTTCATTCGGTAGACAGGTGTTTCAGTTGGAGGAGGAAGAGATGAAGAGAGGTTGCAGGTCATCTTCTCTGAGCTCACCAGTTGCAAAGATGACGCACAGCAGCGGAGCTGGGCACTGCACGAAGATGAGTCAATAATCACAGAATACTTGGAGGAGCTTCTCTCAATATTGGTAAGCTTTTTCAAATTAAGAAAGAAATTTAAAAAAAAAATTAATAAATAAAAAAATTAACAAGAAAAAAAAAAATTAAAAAAAAGAAGGGAATAAGAAAAGAAGGGGAAGGAGAAAAGAAAGGAAAAGAGACAGAAAGGAAAAGAGACAGAAAGAAAAAACTGAAATTTAAATTAAATTAAAACAAACCCAACATCTGGCTGTGAAGAACTGCCACAACACCTCCTACAATTCCTTGATAATCAACATGATGATTGTGGGAACTCAAGACGATGAAGATAAAGAAGCTTTGATATTTTAATTAATGTTTTTTTGTGTCTAATTTTATTTATTTATTTATTTTTTTTTGATAAAATGAATTACCCTTGTTATCATTTGTGAAATGCTTAGAGGCCTTAAAGCACTATAAAAGTCTAACATCATTATAAAAATTAAATGATTCTATGGAAATTTATTTTTTTATTTTCTATTAATATTATTTATTATATGAGGCATGTTGTGGCAAAATGGCTAAGTTGTAGCAAAAATTGAAATTCAAGTTATTGGTATTTTCAGATACCTGAGTATGTGATCTTTAAAATGAGAGGTCATTCATTCAAATTGAACATTTCAAGCCTAAGTTATTGGAAAGTGAAAGTACAGTACTCTTAGAGTCAAGATAAACAGGATTTTGAGTAATTGCACAAAGTTAATTGTGCATACACTGTTTAATAGAACGAACTATGAAAAATAACGTTAAATAAACAATTTGTTAACCGCTTTCAGAACTAATACTTTGGGATATGATTAATGAGACATTAAACTGTTGATCTAGAGTGAAAAATAAATTTGGGTTTTTTAGCAATTTTTTGAGCTCCCATATTTTATAGCTCATTTACTCAATACTGGACTGTGCGACAACTTAACCATTTCGCCACAACATGCCTCATTTTGTATATTGTTAATGTTTTTGTACCATTGTTTAAGAACTTCGCTATTTGTTAATGTTCATAGCTTTCTTGCTGTGTAATACATTGCAGTTCTCATAATAATATGTAAAGAAGAATGTTGTGTACCCTCAACTTGTTCATTAAAGTCTGACTCCGATCCATGTGAGCAGGAGAAGATGCAACGCTATCTGCTGATTTTCGGTGGTGGTCTGAATGGCTCGTCATTAAAACCGATTCATTGCACGCACATCGGCCGACGACCTTCGTGTGTGTAGTGAGTGCACTGCTTAAGATTTTGATTAAGACTGTTTTATATTTTGTCAGAATGATGCTGATAAGTGCGTTAGTCAGGGAGTTATACGACAAGATGGATTTGAACCTCTAACATCTCTTGTGCAGTATTATCAGATGGTAAGAAATTTCATTAGCATCCCCACAGCATGTAACCCCTGTATATTGAGGGTTTTGGTTCACCGTTCTGTTTTGTTTATTCTTGTTAACAATTCATTTATTATATATTTTTTAAATATAAATTAACTTTTGTTGATTTTCTGGGTCGTCCATGCAACCATTTTCAGTTTAAACAGACAATTTTCTCTATTGTGTATGTCATTGTCTGTCTCTTATACACATCTAGATGTGTATAAGAGACAGGGATTGGATTGGATTTATTCAGTGTAA